ACTACATGACGTAAAATAAAAATAAAATGTTTTTAATAAACGTTTAAATAAATAAATTAATGCGATAAAATGTTATTTAAACCGATTATTACAACGTTTGTTTATTCTACATTCATGTCTACCAAGGTTGTAAAATATGTAATTCATCGATTTTGTCGTATCTTTACTGTGGCATTTAACAGTGGCAGTTGACATTTATTGTGCCCTGGGCTCATTCTTCCCCCTGTACTCACCGCTTCCTGGGAGAAACCGCCACATCACCACCAAGATCAAACATATCAAATATAAGAACAATAAAAGTCGTATCCATCTTTCACAAAAAAAAAAATCTTACTTTACCATTTTGTTTAGAAGATATGTGATTTATTCTTGCCAGACGGTTTTATTTTTTATATTGATGCTCAAATAGAAAACGTAACACTGCCAACATGATTAGTTTTGAAAGGATCTAAATGTTGAACATCATCACAACTGAGAGCAAAATGCTCAAATAAAATACCAGCCGTGACTGACAGGTCAAGGCTGTCTCACCGCAGAAACAAATTGAACAAAGCTTCACAAAAGCTGGTCAATTTCAACTTTATTGATCCGGTACTTTGCTGTAGACCAGCAGTCCTCAACCTTCTTTGTACCATGGACCGGTCGGCCCGGTACCAGCCGTTACTGTGGACCAGTAATACCGCACCATCGTTGAAGGATAATTTAATTTTCAAAATCAAACCGTCTTTTAGACTTTCCTCTGTTAGTATCAGAGTCTGAATGACCTTTGACCTGTTGTTCTGAAACACTGACAGATGATCTTTGAATGAACACAGTGAAGGGACATGACTGGATTATCATATCATTGATACATTATCAAAAAAATGTAGTGTATCTATATTTTCTCACACTCCTAATATGGTTATTAAACACTGGTTTGTGATTGGATGAATTAAATACAGTAAACTTGAGAGTGACAACAGTCACTTTGGTCGTGGAGTAAAATAATGTAAAACAAATCATGTTGTCAATAACTGCTTTTTTTTAAAAAAAACAACTTTTTTTTTTTACTTCAACTAAAATCTAAATATGTGTCATCATGTTTCGTCGGCTCTGAGCCCAGATTGGTCACAGTGCCGTGACTAAGGTCGACGGCTGACATCGTGTGTGATGTCTTTGTGTCTAATTCTTCAACCAAGGCATTTTCTTTAAATTCATTTACAAAACACCGAAGGACGGCGGCCTGACGTACAGAGGCACTGATTATAGATACATGACCAGAGGTTACAGAGTGATCAGCGTGAAAGGTCAAGCGCACAGTCGTCACTGTGCCGCACACAGACTCTGTTTGAACTCCTCCAAACCAAATTGTTCTGCTCGTTTCTTGCTTTACAGAAGTGGAACCTCATATCTTTTATGAGACCGTCTTATTTTTAACCACAAAAAAAAAAAAAAAAAAAGAAAAAAGAAATGCGTCAACCAGAAAACATGTTGGAACTGGAATTGAAGACAAACTTTAAATTTTAACGTGTTCGGACTGAAAATGTGGATTTCTTTGTTATTTGATTTCACTGGAACGCTGCAGCGTCTTTGAAGGGCCGTAATTAAGTGGAGTTTATAGTCTTAGATTAAAGCCTCCTCCAGATCACAGGCCATGTTAATGGACTGATGCAATTTTCACTCAAAACCAGATGGGGGGGCCATCACAAGTAAACATCCTGGGCTGCAGTAATGAGCAGAGCTGCACAAGAGAAAAACAGAGAGAGAAAAACAACAACAACAACTTATCAATAAGAGAGAGAGAGAGAGAGAGAGAGAGAGAGAGATACAGAGAGAGAG